ATATCCTTAGGTAGTTTAAGCTTCTGGAGCAGGCTGTAGCCCTGATTCCACTCGGGCTCTCTGGCATATTCCCTGAGCACTCTTCCTGGGAAGGGATCTCCTCTGCCCACATGCCTCAGGCCTCAAGGACCAGCACTAACACCAGATATAAACCACCTGCTTAAACACGGCTTGTCCCAGAACTCCCCCTACAAAGGTTTGGTTCCATTTTAACACATTCAGGGTGACACAGTAGTTATAAAGCTGTTACAACATGCTTATTATAGAGTCTAACCCATTTCTGCTTTTACTTATCACGTAAAGCATAAGACAGCACAGCTGATACAAAGCAATATACATTCCAGCCAAGTTGCCCCTCCCTAGCTCGCCCTTCCTCTGTGAGTACTTGGGGGACCATCTGGGTTTAGGGAAGCAAGCAGGGAGTCCCATATGTCATGAGGTATCACATGGTTGTGGGTTGCTTCTTCCTCAGAGTTTGGAGAAAATAGTCCTGCCAAGCTGTACAATTTCTGCCCTTTTCAAAACCTAAGCCCCTGTGTTGGGGACACCCTTGCCAACTTCCACACATGAGCACAAACCCTAGGCCAATGACTTGGTTGCCAAGAAGGTGAGTTCCTCTTTGCTAACCCAGTTCTTTGTCTTCTGTCTAGAATGGATAGCTTTTTAAAGACAGGGTATTTAGAATCAACTACCTTCTGTTGTGCTTTGCCCCCAGCCTTTGGACTTTCAACCCAACATAGGGGCAAACAGACCATGGAGGAGGCAAAAGGTTTCACACACAAAACAGAATCTGTAGCCTGACACAGACACAAAGGATTGTGTACAATGTACAGCCATATTCCCAAATTGTTACACTCCCCACTGCTGCAGAGGAGAGAAAAAAATTGTTTCTTCAGTATTAAGCCTCACAGCACTTCTTAAGGTAGGCAAGTATGATTAATCCCAATCTACCTGTGAATAAACTGAGGCCTGAAAAGGTTTCATGCCCTGCTGAAAGTCACCTAGAGCTGGAAGCAGAATGCACAAGTCCTGTGTCATTGATCTCTGAATCACAGGCTAAACTATCGATCATTTTATAGTACCGGTATTTTGTTTATGTAGTTCACTGAAATAACATTAAGATTCATAGTACTCATTAGATGTGATAATGACTGAAATCAGTGAATTTGCCCAAATGTAATGCTATCTAGCTTTTACATAATAATTTCCCTCAGTTTGAGTGCTTTGTCCCAGATATGCAAATTCTCAAGAATTGGTTGCAAGAGTCACAATTTCTGAGTAAAATTAAGTCTCAGGATCTCACAATATAATTCTCAAATGTCAGGGTTTTGGGTTTTTTTCAGCCATGACTGACAACAAAATCCTTACCTTTCAGAGTTCTAAAAGCGAGGCTTAATTTTACTTAGAAATCTTTTCAGCTGCCGTGGGTGCATCAGGGACTCCTGCTGTCAGCTACCCTCGGTGTGGGATGGCGGGGCCAGGCTCCCGTTGTCAACCCTTAGTGGCTGCTCCTAGCCAGCCTAGGAAATGAGAGGGGAAGCCCTAAGAAGCAGAGATGAGCCTGCAAGGGCTAAACTATGGCCTGAGGGTGAGTGGGGGGAGGGGGACTGATGGGATGGGAGAGCTGTATTGATGGTGGGTTTTATGCAGAAGGGGTGAGGGCTGGGAAAGTGAAATGAGGGCAGTGGAGTTTATGGGGCAGGAGGCTAAACTGAAGTGGTGATGATGTGGATTAGGGGTCTGAACCAAGCGGGACCTCAATTGAGGGGGGGTTGGGTGGGGCAGAACTGATGAGGGACTGAGGGACAGGATTAAGTGCTATGCAGGAGAGGGGCAGATGTGGTGGTGAGAACTGCTGCAAAAGGGACCAAATCACCTTATTTGTGGGAGAGTAGGCAGCACGAACTGTCACTTGCATATACCCTGAGGATTGACCTGGTGTGGGGGAGGGAGTTCAAACATCAAGAGATGGACCTAAACAAATACAATATGATCTTTTTGAATGATTGCTCCCAAAATCATGAAATCTTATGATTTAGGGGGTTCCAACTCATGATTTTTGAGGGGGGAGGGATAGCTCAGTGGTTTGAGCATTGGCCTGCTAAACCCAGCATTGTGAGTTCAATCCTTGTGAAGGCCATTTGGGGCAAAAATTTGTCAGGGATGGTACTTGGTCCTGCTGTGAAGGCAGGGGACTGGACTCAATGACCTTTCAAGGTCCCTTCCAGTTCTAGGAGATAGGCAATCTCCATTAATTTAATTTATTTAAAAATCTCTTGAATTTGACAGTTCAATTGTACATCTAATTCCTTGCTGTCAAAGCTAGCAATAGATCAATAGCTGGACATCCCTATAGGGGGACTACTGATGCTTTACTGGAACACTGGAATTTCTGGTATTTCCAAGAACAGCATGAGCCCACCCCTTCTGAGCCTGATCACAAATGCTCAGTGGGTGTAAGCTCATGCCGTGGAAGGGAGGTGTCATTTTTAAGAGCGTGTTGTTTGACCTCCAGCAATGTGACCTTGCATGTGTGAGCTCAGGCCAGTGGGGCTAGAACAATGCATTCTTCAGAAGGGCACCCCCATCCGATCCTAGCCAAACCACCTCTGATTTTGCCTGAGTACTGGACTGGGGGCAGATTCTAGAAAAACAGGCCTGTCCAGTTAAATCCTGGACAAGAGGCCTGCCTGCATCCCTATTATTTCCAAATCAAAGTCTGTCAGATTATTATTCACTAGTTTATAGGCCCTTGCCACGTGTCAGTCTTTTACAGTATTTTATGGAGACAGTCAGATTATTCTTCACTAGTTTATAGGCCCTTGCCATGTGTCAGTCTTTTACAGTATTTTATGGAGACACTGGTCTTGATTCTCTCTCTTTGCCAACTCTCCAGGACTGTGCTAGAGTTTCCAGGAATTAGAGAGCAATCTTAAATTAAAGATTAATTATGTCATGTGATGAAACTTTCAGGAATGTGCCCAACCAAATCTCTCTTCAGTGATGTCATGCAATAACCATAATGAGCATGACAATGGTGTTTTAGTGTATAGTGTACCACTTAAATATAATGGATCAGCATTCACATTGCACTCCCTGTCAGCACCAGGATGGGGATGGGGAAGGGGAACCAGTGATCCAGCCAGTGTACCCAATTTGGTGTTGAATCCCTGGTCACATGTCATCTGAGGTATACATATGCTAAGAAGACTTAAATAAATACTTATTTTTTAATTCATTTTAGTGTTTTATTCATTTAGGTTTTCTCTTTTTTATTTCTTCCTGATGTCACCGCAGGGAAAAGTTTAAGTTGTTTGGGTGCCTTAACTTTGTTATTTCCATTCCTTGACACATTCAGATTGCTTTAAAAATGGATTTCTCTGTTTGGTTATGCCTGTTTTTGCAATAATTACAACATTTGTTTACTTATAAGTCCCTGATATGTACTCTCAACTGTGACCTCATCTTGCATAGGTGTTTGTCTGTGAATTACAATCAAATAAACCCTCCAGTTAGTAAAAAGACTCCATGCAAAGCCTTTTTCCAACCAACTTGGTTTAATCTCTTGAGTTATTTCATTGGGGGAAAACAGGCTTCTGTTTTCAGTATACTTATATCTCAGTTTCCTTTTGATAGGGGGGAAGCAAGCACTTTCCTAACACTGGAATATTCTTATTGTCCAGGAATTCTATTTCAACTCAAGACCTTTCTGTCATCATCAAAGCGTATGTGCTAGTGACATCCATAACACCTTTGCGAGCATTCCTTCATTCGACTGCCATTGTCTGGCATCCTCCCAAGAAGAAGCACTTTTCTGTAAAGGTAAAAACTCTTTGTTTTTAACTGGTTCATTCACTCAAAGTGCAGTGGTAGAACGGTAAAAAATCGGTTTCTTCTTCCTTCATTATTAGCCATTCCTACTGAACACAAAATATATTTTTCATGTATAGCTTTCATGAGTCAACCAAGACCCGAGTTTGCCTTGCAAAGGTTAAGGCAATATAGTCATGCACAGAAAGATTATCAGGACATGTGTGTTTTGGCTTGACTGTGTGAGAGCAGATGCAGAGCTGTTGTTTATGTTCTCAAACACAACTGTGCATAAACTGCAGTGCTGGAGCTTTTTCAAGCATGGTATTAATCCACTACAGAAGAAAGTAAAATCAGTATTTAAAATAAGGGCCAATTAAGGTGGAGGCATGGGCCTCGAGTGCACCACTTTTAGGGTCCTAGGATTTAAGAAGATTAATGCTTTATAAATAGGCCAGAAAGGGTTTGATTTTAATTGGTAAATGCCAGGAAAAGTTGCTTTCACTGCACACACACACATTGTTGGGGAAATATTTCCATCAGTAATAATAGAAATTTGCAGCTAGGCGAAGTAAAGAAAAAAAGCAGCTTGAAAACTTACTAAAATCTAACTTAAAAGATATTCACTCTGTATATTTTGACATGTGGTGTTGACAATGTGTTTTAATGGTTATAAAGCTTTTAAGGTTTTGAATCTCAGCAGCATTAAATAATTGTCTGGCACTCCCACGCACACAATTTCTTGCCATTCTGGAACCTTAAATTGATAAAAACTTTAAAAATGCATAAAGAAATAAAACATTTAATCCTGCCAAGCCTATTTATAAGTGTGTAAAATAGACTAGATCTTGCCATGTCCAAGTGGCTGGGGAGAGCGCCACCATCTGCTTCCCCCATCTGGCTCACCCAGTGGCACATGCCTCCTCCTGGGTATCCTGTTTCTCCTTTGTTCCACTTAGTGAGGACCTGTGCTTGTAACATAGCAACTCTTCATGCAGTGCCCATGGATCCCTTGTAGCTCATTCCATTTTTCCTTCTGCAGGACAGACAGAAACACTAGGGCAGGGGTGGCCAACCCATTTAACAAAGAGAGCCAAAACAGTGGCAGAAAAAATGCGAAGAGCTGCACCAGAGATGTCACAAAAAAGCCCCCCCAGAACAGAATTGTTGAGCAAAAACAAAAAAAAATAAAAAAAAAATTTAAAAGGAGGTTGCCCCTTTAAGACAGCTGCCATCTTGGGCGCCATTTTTAAACCCTTGCAGCTCTGACCTGGTAAGCACAAGGAAGCTGGAGGCCGGGGGAGGAGAAGCTGGCGAAGGCTGTTTGGATGGAGTGAGGGTGCAGGAGCGGCTTTACAAGCTGCTTTTTTGGGGGGGCATGCTCATGAGCCGCGGGTTGGCCACGGCTGCACTAGGGCATCAGAATCTTCTCTAGGTCTTAGAGCAGCTTAACTCCTATACCATTGCTTGAGGCTGTGGGAAGCTGCTTCTCCTCTTGCTCACAAGAAGATCCCCAGATGCCAACTGATTCACTTGGGTAGGGAGCCCAATTTGGGTCTAAGTCAGAATGAGCACTGGCCTTAAGTTACAATGCCAGCATCTGACTTCATGCTAAAATGTTGGGCATGTAGTGAAGCCTGTGAAGTGGCGATGCAACTCATTTTTACCATCTCTGCTTGTGGAAACTCATTGGTCTTCCTCACTTAAGTCACCCACTGAACAGACCTCTGCTTCCTCTGAGTTTAATTTAATTTTAAGTTAATTGAAAATATTACATGTGTCCAGTAGCATCATTATAATCTTGTAACTAGGAACTAGCTTGAAAGAAAATAATAATTAGTAACTGGGGAATTGCACTCTGGAAAATAATCAGCATTGAGGCAGGACAGCAGAAAGGAGCATCAGCCACCATTCACAGAACATTCTGGCAGCTGAAGAAGAAATGGAAGTGATAGATCGAAGTAGCAGCTCATTCACAGTTGTTCCAGTCTAGTTACTGCTTCTGTGGTCCTATATCTTTCTTGGCTTTAGACAGAGTTCTTATAACAGCAAGAGCTATATAAAAAGTAGTAGCAGAGAAAGCACTTCTATAGTGATGTACACTTAAAGGCAAATTAATACAACGATGGAGAAGAGAATATATTAGGCTGCCTCTAACTATAAACAGTATATCCTGTATAGAGTTTGAGAGAAGTCAGAGAGTCTCCAAGAAATAATCAAAGGCAAGGCCCTATATAATCTAACAATAGAAATTTCCTAGGTGTGAGCAATATATCAAGGATTTCTGTGCTTGATAAATTGCAGCATCAGATGCACTGTGCAGGAGAGACAAAAAATGGCATCTCATTCTGGAAATGATGGTGTTTTTCTCCCTGTCTATAGGTCAGCTATATAACATTTTGGAATTATCTTAGAGCATGTTGTCAATAAACTTCACAGAGTATTCAGCCAAGCCTACGATGTCAGTTACCTGCCTACAGCACAGCAGTCACGGTGAGCCAGGAGCTCTGAATGAAGCCAGTGGGGCTATGCCAGTTGATGAAGGCTGAGGAATTTGACCCATATTAACTGGAAATGGTCAATCTCAGCCACAGGGTTTGAAATGAGAATTTCTTTGTGAAGTATCTCTCACATGTGTGAAGGGGAAATTGGCTCATTACTTATTGTGTAGCTCAGTAGTTTACAACAGCAGTAAGGGTGTTTTGGGGTCTATTGCTTCACTTATTGACAAAATGGCCATAAAGGTTTTTGGGAATTTAGCATGCATACAAAAGAGACACAGACTTGGAAAAAAATTGCTGCTAATGTTGTTGACAGTGTGTCCCCCCTGCACCTTCCTCCCAAATATCTGTCTATTCATTTAAAAAAAGTATGGCATGGACATGACTGAAGTTAGTCCCATGGGTTGTCAGTATGTATCTTTCTTTCCTATTCTCCTACACTCTCAGGTGCATAGGTTATTCACCAGTTTCCACCATATTATAATGGTCTGTTCAGGTTTCTGTCATGGTGATGAATTGTCAAGAAGTATGAATTGCCTGAATAATGTTGTACACCATAACTCACATACCTGTCAGATATGAAACTAACTAATATTTGCAAAAGCATATATAAAGTTGCTGTGCACTGCTGGTTTTTATTTATAGTAAGATATTAACCTGGCACTGGAGCTGACCTGCTAAATATTGAGTACTGCAGACAAAATATGTTTACTGTAGCATCTGGCCTAATAGGCATAAAAGTCTCATAATAGATGTAGTAAGAATGTTGCTGATAATATGTTGTTGAAAATGTCAAAAAGAACTGCGACTTATTACATATGAAATAGTTGGATCAAAGAATAAACATAAAAATTGAAGTTTAGTAAATTAAGCATGTATGGCTTTGTGGAATATTCCATCATTTAAAAAAAATTTAAACTATTATAAGAAATTGTTACAAATCACTTTTACTCATCCTGTTTATAGTGACTGAGATTTACAATGACTTTATCCACCATCTGTGCACTTAAAAATAGAAACTTTGTAAAATAATTGCATAAGATACAAACCAAGGGATTTGTGTTCAGTGTGTATAATTATTCCTGTTCTTGTTAGGGTGTTATGCACTTTCACGGGCAAAGAATTGACAAACAATATTTTCCTGTATATTGGCTGTGCTAATGGACGGCAGGTATAAGAGGCAAGGGGAGGCAGTGCCTTCCCTGGTCTTAGTGCTCAACCTCTCCATTCTTCCGACCCCTATTCTGATTCTGCAGTTTCCCCACAGTAGGCTCTTGCAACCTGCTGAGAATCTTCCCCTGAAGTCAGAGAGGTAGAGTTAGTCCATTTCTGCAAAAACAATACGGAATCCAGTGGCACCTTAAAAACTAATACATGTATTAGGGCATAAGCTTTAATAAGATACAGCTCACTTCCTCACATGCGGAAGAAAGGGAGGAGTACAGAGATGGGAGTGTAACACCTGTGCTAATGAAATCAGGGTGGATGTGGTTCACCTCCAACAGTGATGAGAAGGTGGGAGCACCTGAAGGAGAAATTACTTATTGTAATGAGAGAGTGATGAGGAGTCCTGAGGCACCTTATAGACTAACAGATTTATTGGAGCATAAGCTTTCGTGGGCAAACACCCACTTTGTCAGATGCATGTCTGTACTTACCCATGAAAGCTTATGCTCCAATAAATCTGTTAGTCTATAAGGTGCCTCAGGACTCCTCATCACTCTCTCATTACAATAAGTAATTTCTCCTTCAGGTGCTCCCACCTTCTCATCACTGTTGGAGGTGAACCCAGACCCTTTCTGACAGAGTCAAAACTGCATATGAATTCCAGCTGAGCAGTTTCACATTGCAATCTTTTTGAAGTGTTTTTGCCTAAGAGTGACAGCTTGCTTTGTACTGTATTGTACCGCGTTTTACTGCCCGTTACAATAAGTAATTTTCTCTTTGGATACTCTCACCTTCTTATCACTGTCGGAGGTGAACCAGATCCATCCTTTGTTTCTTTGCTTCAGTGAGATAAATATGTAATAATCTGGAATGATTATTTTATGAAGACTTAAGAGAACATTTAAAATATGAAATCAGCTTAGAAATACTGACTAAGAAAATGTAAAAGCAGAAGAACTGCATGATATATTGCATAATATTTAATGTTGTATTCAACAAGACAGCAGCTGACTTGCACTTACTATAACGTTTTTGAAAATAAATTTCTGATCAACTTAGGATATATCAAAAAACCTGTGTTTGACATTTTTTATTCCCAAATTTAGTGTTTTTAATTGGGTATCTTCTGCACAATCCAGCATGCAGAGGAAAACATGCTCCATCTTCTTTAGAAAGAAATTTTAGAAGAGTGTAGGTTTTTTTCAAATATAATTTGCTATATTTGGGTTCGGGTATTTGTCTGGAAGGGTGAGGAGGAAAGGGAGGAAAGAGAAGAGAGCCAGATAATGAGGAGGGGCAGGGCCTGGGCAAATTGGGGGCAGGGTTTCGATGGAATAGAAGTAG